GGAGATAGGATGATAGGTAGAGAGGGAGGGAGATAGGATGGTAGGTAGGTAGGGAGGGAGATAGGGAGGAAAGGGAGATAGGGAGGGAAGCGAGGGATAGAGGCATGAATCCACTGTGGTAAAGCTCAACCATTTCTTTATTTCTCTCCATTCCTTTTTTTTTTTTTTGCTTCCCACGTCAGTTTGCCTTTTTTCTTTTTTTCTTTTTTTTTCTTCTTCGTTGAATGCACATCTATAAAAATCATTCTTCTCGGCTTTTCGCCTCTGGATTGTGATGTTTTTCTTTTATTTATTTATTTATTTTATTTTTTTTATTTTTTTTATTTTTTTAACGAAAGCTCAGATGTGAAACCGCGCTATTTTCTTTCTTGTTGTCTTAATCTATATTTTTGGGGGTTATCCAACACCCAGTAATTGCTCTTATTATTTTTTTAGGATTTAAATGTGATTGTTTTAAGTCTGATGAAGGATGTTTATTATTATTAGTAGTAGTAGTAGTATTAACTATCTCAATAACATAAGAAAAAACACACTATAATGGCAGTACAGATTTGAATACTATATATAGACGTTCAAATACCAATTCCCTTTACAATAACACGACCACTAAAAGTTTCAGGGAAATTTTACACTCTGAGTATACAATACTGTCCCTCTCTAACTAAAAAAAATTCCTCGTGACAATTTTTTGCTCTCTTGTTTTTCCAGCGATTTATTTATTCTCAACTAAAAGAACAGCCTGTGATAGCAGTCTTTTTTTTTTATTCTTTTGTAAGTTGTCAGCTGATTTGTTTTTGTTTGTTTGTTATTTGTTATTTTGTTTTATTGTTTTTTGCTGGAAATGTCACCGTAAAATTAAATCATTATCTTATTCATCTTTCCGGGTGAGGTTATTATTGTTGTTTTTTTTTCTTTTTTTTATAAATCAGATTATAACCTATTACTTTTTCCAGGTTAGGTTAGGTTATATTAGCTATTCGACAGGATAGAAGGATAGAACTAGACCAGGATAGGTTAGGTTAGGTTAGTGACTCAACAGGATAAAACTAGACTAGGATAGAATTAGAAACCAGGATAGAACAGTTAAATTATAGTGAAACAAAAATCGTTATATAGGAGGAAATAAGTCAGATTAGGTTAGGTCAGGTTAGGTTAGATTAGGTTAGGTCAGGTTAGGTTAGGTTAGGTTAAGTCAGGTTAGGTTAGATTAGGTTAGGTCGGGTTAGGTTAGGTTAGGTTAGGTTACTGAAATTATTGAAGATGGGAAGGTAGAAAAACATGACTAAAATTGCTCCCCTTTAGTTTCTGGCATCAGGTGTTTTTGAGCGAATTGTAGTGTAAAAAAAAAGAAATATTTCTCTTTATTTCGTTTTCAATAGCTGTTTGTGTAAGATTGTTAGTCATCTTTATGTCCACAATTCTGTAAGTATTTAGGGAGTGTTTTGCATTTGTATTTTTCAGCAGAGTTAGTCAGTTCTATGAATGTATTTCCTGTATTATTAGCTGTATCTGTAACTGTACTTGTATCTCTACCTCTATCTGTATTTCAAGCTGACCTATACCTATACTTGTATGTATGTACAGTAGCTAAAACAACTATCTGTGCAGGTAGGGGTAGATATGCTCCGAAATTTTACGTGTGACTAGTGACAGCCCTCATTTACCAAAATTTATCGTCCATGGCCTCATATTGTTTCCCACAAAGTATGCACAGATAGTTGTTTTAGCTACTACGTACCTATGGCTGTATTTTACCTGTACCGGCATATGTATCTGATTTTGTATTTGCACTTGTATATGTTCTTGTACTTATGTCTAACATAAAGAAAGACACCTCAGCGTTACACCACAGAACAGCGATAATGTACAGTACCAGACATCTCGAAAGAGTTGTCGGTAAAGAAAGAAGAACCCGATTAGGAAAATACATCTGCTGTAAACAACTAGCGCGGGAAAAACCACAAGTTTTTTCGTCTCTAGCAAAATTGCCGAAAGCCAAAAAAATAAATAAATCTTGAGGGATACTTCTCGCGCGCCTTCTAGAGCCAGATAAATGAAAAGAAACGAAAATGTTCTGGTAGCTATACTCCTAACACCCAGACAAAGACAAAAGCAGGCAATAGACAAGGCGAAGGAGGAGATTATTCGAGCCAAACTTACACAAGGCAGAAGGAAAAGAATTTTCTTTGGTTAAAAGACCTGCAAGAAATGGGCACTTGGAGAGATCCTTCAAGCCAGAGCGTCAGCAACACACAGCTTGAGGAGCTGTTGCTGCCGGGCGTATGATTGTTTGTTCGTTCTGGCCAGACACTGATCTTGTGTTTATATATATATATATATATATATATATATATATATATATATATATATATATATATATATATATATATATATATATATATATATATATATATATATATATATATATATATATATATAATGAACCAATTAAGAGACCGAGTGAGGAGTTAGGCTGGGGTTGAATGGTTACAATGAGTGGTCGAGACTCAGGAGAAGTAGAGCAGGAGAGCAAATACCGTGTGGAGGTAAGACGACCAAGGCAATCACACATTGTTACTCCAGTCTCGATAACCTAACGTTATTTTTTTTCTATGTGGATGGGAGTCCAAAAACGACACCTAACGGTGAGGTTTCAGTGCAGTTATGGCCGTCATCTTTGTGTTGCATCTCAAGTGAGCAATATACGTGTGATCTCGTATCTCCAGTTAGAGAAAAATAGTCAAGGTATGAATCTAAGAGAATATTCATGTTTATGTCGTAGCTTCAGTTAGCCAGTTGGAGACGTTCTCACTGCAAATTACGATTTTTTTGAGAACCCTGGTTGCGCCGTCTCTTAAGTTATCCCGTAATACGTTTGTACATCTTCGGGTAAAGGATTGATTGAACTTACGAGACTTTGAGAATCCCTCTCTGTCATATCTTACGAATACCAGTTTAATTTGTGCTCGCCTGTCCAATCTGGAGAGAAATTTAGCTCAAGAACTTTTGCGAATCCATTTAACTCCTTAACATTAAGTGTGACAGTTGCGTTATATACCCACAATATGCTATAGTTAGTAGAAATTTTGAGCTGTTAACCTTCGTGTCGTCAAGGTCAAATCAACTTCACGAACCTTAGTGTATCAAACTCCGGTGTTATAAGAATACATGACAAACTAAACCCAACCAGCGAGCTTAGGACCAATCCTGTATTCTGTGCTTATTTACCTGGCCACACAAAACACCTGTACTTGACGGCCGTGTGGCAAGTGAGTAACGAGGGGTGGGTGTGTGTGTGTGTGTGTGTGTGTGTGTTTATATGTGTGTTTATATGCGTGTCTTCTTCTGAGTGTGTATGTCAGTTGAAACCATATTTACTCATAACCAAATCCTTGTGTACATAAAGAAGAATGGTATGGCCGTCATCTCTCTTGGATAATTTCAAAGATACTTTTTCGCTTAGGCTCATTTCTGTACACGTGGTTGGTTCTCATTACTAAAGGCAAAGGAGTTACATGTTATATGCTCTGTCTAACGTAGCTTTGAAGACTTCGCATCTGCCTTCTCTGTCCCTGTGATCCCCTGTGACTCCCTAGAGGCCTAGACCTTTCTTGGGAAATTCCTCGTTTAGTCATTCATCTAGGCATTCACTCACACTGAGAATTAAGCATCTAGCCATCCAGGCGTTCACCTAATGAGGAGAGCTATGTTAATGTTAAACACCAGGTTAGAGTTCTCACAAGCTTACAGGGAAGACTCACCTACTCGTACACAAGGCACCTAAGTTATAGCTCCCGGGGTTGTTACCAAACTCACCTGTTACCTGACAATTTACTGACGTCCATGGTGTAATTCAGGGAGCCCACATACATTCCTGAGTGAGTCAAAGTGATATTAAACTCGCCCTGGAATCCTACTGCTAGGAGAAACCTCTGCCGCCCTTGGATTAATAATGTTGAGTTGTTAGTATAAGAGAACACTGTCTTGCCCTGCAGCGTGGGTGGGGTCTCAACTCTTATGCTTGGGCAAGTTTATGTTGATTTTAACGCTAAAACTTTATTATTATTATTATTATTGTTATTATTGTTATCATTATTATTGTCATTATTATTATTATTATTGTTATTATTATTATTGTCATTATTGTTATTATTATTATTATTATTATTATTATTATTATATTATTAATCATATAATAGTAGTAGTAGTAGTAGTAGTAGTAGTTTTCCACAGCCTGGGCGGGCTCACTAACGCCACCGCAGTAAAGAAAATAAAAAGAATAAGCAGCACTATATAAATAACCCAATATTAATACAAAGGCCTGACGACCCAAGGGAGCAGAACAAAGATAAAACACCAATAGGAAAGATGAAGCGATCTGGTTGAGCCCAAATTCTTTCTACTCCTACTGTATTTCAGTTTCACCACTTTTTCTTCAACCCCTAATAATCTTCTTTCACCTCATAACTCCTGACTCCACCACCGCCATACATACCACCTGAGTTGATCCTGATTTCCTCTTTGCCTGAAGCTTCTCCCACATCCTCATCTTCTGCTTATTGCTCTATTGTTCATATTCAACCCAACACATTACTTTCATCCACGTATTTATTTCGCCTCTTATTTTTTTCCTCCTGAATCCAGACTTCATGATTTACGCTCACAATAATGTCGACTCAAGAGCTCCCTGTACATCTTCATTTTGGTCTCCTTTCTTTGTTCCCATACATTCTCAATCCACTTAAATACTCCTCCCTACATTCTATCTCCATTCAAGCTAAATGTTTCTGTACTCTGGTTATTGTCATCATTTTAATACTCTTATTTACATTCACTATCAAATTTCTCTTAGTACAGTATATCCTTGTATAAGGCATCATTAGAAATAACACATTCAACTATTGATGGTAAAGTCGTAGACTCAATTTTTGTTGATTATGAAATTCTCATCATCATAAATTCACGAAACTATGCGACGGGAAAAGTAAAATTGACACACAATAATTATTTAGTTTTATTCGGGTTCATCTAGACCGGTGGCTTTTAACGGTAATTAATTTTAATTTGCTATTTAGGACAATGGTAAATCACTTGCATGGTTATTGCCGTTGTATGGTTTATATTTTTTATATCATATTATTTCCTCAATAGGAAGTCCGATTTGAATATTTTTTTTTTTGACAAACTGGGGATGACCTCGACCATAACCGCATATCAGCTGTAATAATATAGATAAAATAGGTATAGGGGGAATAAAAGAAATACTTTACAAATTGCACCACCCACTAGTTTCAACGATACTACTGTACATACAATAAGATGCACCACTCTCCCTTACCTCAGTGTAATCGATCGACTGGAGCGCCTCCAGTGGCTGGTGTTTGTTTACATCATGTCGCCGGGGAGTAAAGGCTAATCCAGCTACTGTTCAGCGGTGGAACGCTCCAACAGCAGAGGCTAATGTCTAAATTTTTATTTTTCTGGTTCCCTACAAATAAAATAAGGTAAACTTGATATGTTATTACAACTTTTGCATGATTAACTGTAGAATTACAAAGATAAAAGAGTGGCACTATTAACACCACATATAGCTCAGGTGACGACGATATTTTTTGTTAAGTATATGGACAGAAACTTGTCATAGACAGTACATATTAACGTACTCCAGTGTGACCACATTTGACCTTGTGTTAGCTTGTATGACCCAGTGTATCCTAACATGATCCCGGTTGTGACTCCTGCCCAGTATTTGGCTGAGGATGTTCTAATCCAGCTACATCCCGGGCCGTGAAATTGAATGACTCTCACACGTTCTCCTCGATTACTATTCATATTTATATTTACATTTCGAAGCTCTTGCTACCTGAGGCGGGTGGGTAAAGGCGCCACTTTTAAGAAAATTTCATTAAAACTCAGAGAACTACAAATTAAATGGGAATCTCGTGTACTCCGCATTCACTTGAGATCATCAAAGCTAATAAGGGTCAATCGAGGTCACTAGAGTCACAGGTCACCTAAGTTCATGCAAGATAATCATGTGAAACAGGAATCCTGGTGTTACAACTGATTGCCTTACATAACCCAAAACCACCATAAGCCATTTGACATCAGCATACAGATTACTGTGGATAACAGATAAAGTACTAAAAATAATTACAGTACTTCCAATGTGGTTTGATACCTGATCTGCTCACACAGTTTCATGTCAGCTTCCCCTCCCTTTAATCCCTATAATTGTCCAAAATTATATGATTCACGACTGAACTCTTCCTATTTTGATGTAATTATATACAAACGCGCGAGGTGATGTCATACAAGAAGATACACTAATTTTAACTCTATAATATATGGTGTCATTTCTTGATTTTTTTTTTACCAGTAGTTACAACTATATCTGTTCTTATATAGGTATAAATAAATGCCCCTATACATGTAACTGTACCTGTACCTGCACTTGTAACTGTGCGTGTACCTGTTCTGGGTTTTTTTCCTCGATTTAAAACATGTAATATAATTAGTTTGCGAGATTATTTTAATTTGTCAATATTTTCCCTTTTTGTGCATTTGTATGTGGCATTACTCTTACCCTGAATACCAAACCAGGTTGGAAAAATCACATGTGAAACCTTTGTGTGTGCTAATTAAATTTCAAATGCTGTGTGTCACAATATACAGTTTAAAGAGCCTATTCAGTTCTCTCCTTCATTATTTAGATTTCAAAACATTCCATTTACTAATTCAACTGTCGAAAATAAAAGTTGATAAATGTTATACCTGTATTGTGTGACACTGCTCGTGGGCGTATTTAGGTCAAAGCAAAACATTAACAAGTGACTCTCTCTCTCTCTCTCTCTCTCTCTCTCTCTCTCTCTCTCTCTCTCGGTATCAGAAGCGCCAGATAGATTCGAGGTCGAAAAACTTGTTTCCGTTCTCATACAAATTCAACAGTTTTACCAATTGTAAAGTTTGTGGGTTCATCTGTATTATTAGCATTGAAAAATCAACTGTCGTTTTTTGCCATATAGGGATAACTTTGTGTCTTTATTACTACAATATATTGGAAATTAAATCGTATATGGTAGAATTTGTTTTGATTTAATTAAGACGTCGTTTACCACCATATGACAGCTAAATTATACCTAAAGTAGGCTAGATAAGATTAGTTGTTTTCTTTTTAACTTATGACTGGTCATAACAATCACACATAAACAAATAACCTCATACATAACCTAACCTAACCTAACCTAACCTAACCTAAATTGCTCCAGGTACAGTAAAGAGGTCACGAGCACTGAGTGGCTATGCATTTGAGAATAAGCTTAGGTTAGCGAGTCGTAGATTGCGACTTTATTTAATTAAATTTTTCTGGGAAAAAAGGGAACAAAAATAGAAACATCAAAGACATATTAACATGCATAGGAAATTCGTATCGATTATCTTTGACGCAGAGTTTGTGTCTTTGAAAAAATAGAAAAATGGATAATTAATTCCGCTGAGTGATGTGCCGCCTTCTACGGAGACGCTTTTAACTCTCTCTCTCTCTCTCTCTCTCTCTCTCTCTCTCTCTCTCTCTCTCTCGCTTTACCATCTTTAAGCCAGCTAACGCATTACTTAACCAGATTACTGCAAGACCTGAGTGGGCACAATTTTCTGTATATGTGTCTCACCTGAGTAAACAAACAGCTATAATCTCTGTAATCATGGAACGATTCTTTGCCACAACGACGAAGCACCAAAGAACGTCACTTTTTTTTCCTAGCTGGAGAACCTATGACTGAGTCTTACACTCTCCTGATTGGGAAATTATTGGGTGTATTTAGTTTTTTTTTTTACCAGGTTGACAAACACGGAGATGCATGATAGAGTGACAGACAGACATACAGACAGACAGTGAGGGTTAGAGACATTGGAAGATATAAAGAAACGCAGACATAGAAAATGATAGAATTGAACATAGAAAAACAGACAAAACGAAAAAGAAATTAAAGAGACAAAAAGATAGATTGAGACTGGCGGTAGGAAGAAACAAGAAAACAAAGAGACTTGGCTGTGTGAATATGTTTACTGTATCTTAATGTTTGTCATATATCTAACATCAGTGTTGTTACTGTTATTTTTATCTGTATTACCAGGGTATGTGTGGATGGTGTCAGCTGTAGTCAAGCTCTTAATTGCCGGTTGTTAAGAGTAACGACCCAACATCGTTGGTAGAAACAATTACTGTAATATTCAGTTACAGAGAGAGGTGACATACATTGAATCCTTGATATGTACACAAATAATTTTATACAGCCCATCGAAGGGAAATAAAATTGTCTTCGTCAGCGAGTACATTCAATGAGGCAGTGACATTGTGTTGTACAGAACTTCTGGTGCGACTAATAGTCAAGTTAACAAATAAACATATCATTGTTTTTAAGTGTTATAAATACAAGAGTCTTGTTAGTTATGTGTTCATAAATATCCCTTCTACCGCTTGTTATGTTTCCGGTATATAAGTTTTTTTTTTTGCTGAATGTAGGTAAATAGTGAAGGAAAAAATCAACATATACCAAAGCACAACACACCAGATGCAAGTTAATACACAGTCCTACTAATAACTGAATTATTGAATCCTTTAAATAAATTAACATTTATCTCAGCGAAAATGTGAAATCCGATACACAGGAAAAAAAGATCTAGAAATCGAGGCTTTATGTGTCTGAGGTTTTATATATCTCATCAAGAGCAATATTTTCTGATTAATAAATAATATTATCACATATCACTGCCAGAATTATTTTTTCACAACTTTTCACGAACGAATAAAGCGATTTTGATACGTTATTTGAGACTCATGCCGTTGTATTTTCCTTATGTTTACTTTATGTTCTGTCTTGCCGAGGTTTCCCCTGGACTAAAGACGTCACGAATCTGAAACTTATTACAACCTTTCTATCATCCTGGTAACATCATTCCACTTAACGATTATTTGGCGTAGGTGTGTCTGTCACATTATCAACGCTCGACCTATTCTCAAGGGTCACGTTTTCTTGTTGTTGTGACCTGAGAACTTCTTGTTAGTGGGGTCGTCCTGAGCGCTGGAGGAGCCGATGTCAACCAGGATGTGGGTGTAGAGCGGGTGTCGCGTGACCGTCTTTATGGTGTAGTTAAGATTCTTCAGGCCATCATACGGATACCTTCCAGTGTTCCGTTTGAGGATCTTGTACCTGTAGATTGAAAACAAAAAATAGTGAAATTTTTGTGAGTTTATGTCCGAATATATTGTATATGTAGAAAAAATATATAAAGAACGTTTTACTTGGATTTTGTAAATATCTTGTATATCTGAAATGATCAAAACAAAGAGGGTATTATGGCAGTGCATTACTAGAGGGTTGGTGTTTTTAGCACAGAAGAAAATCGATTGATGGTTCATTTTTTCTTATCTCACCCATTTCTAGGTTTTGTTTTTTATGTGCATATAATTAACTCTCTCTCACACGTTTAATTTTACTCACCTATTCATCCTCTCTTTCACTCCCACTGTCACTCTCTCATATCTAACCACCACTGCCATGCAACCTGTCCTCTGTAATCTCTTACCTATCCTCATTCACGATCTGACGTTTGTGCTTGATCATCTTGTACTTGGCGAAATGAGCCGGATACCTCCAGACTGCCATGTCAGCGAAGGTTATACGCCTCCACATATCATCGTCCTCACCTCCCCAACCCCAGTAGATGTTGCTCCAACCATTCACCTTCCTGATGTGTCCTTCCCCCATGAGACACGCGCCCCCGTAGTAAGTATGGTAGAGGATACCGTGGGAGCTGCTGCTTGGGATGAAAGAGGTGGATCAAAGTTAATTTGTGTGTTTGCTGGAAACTGACAGCCACGTTGACGGAGAGTTCTTTCTTTCATAATTCTTAAATGTTGATGGACTAGTGTAATTTCTAATCTACTTATGTACTTCAAGACCTAAGTTGTTGCAACGTAGTAATAACATTAACTACCACGAGAGGAAGAGGAAATGGAGGAGGAATTAAGAGAGGAGAATCAAGGTCTGAAAAGTCGAGTCAGTGAGAGAGAGATAAGGATAGAAGGTTTATATCACTCAAATACATTTCATAACAAATAGAAAACCTGGGTCTGAATGGCTTGAGTCAGTCAAGTAGTTCTCTTATATGACTTAGTGAGTCACAAGTTATTTACACATTATTATACAGGATATCTGTTATCAGTGGGGTTTTTCTCGTCCAATACTGTTTTACGGATGTTTTTCCTGAGTAGTCTACATTTCACTTGTTGATGCAGTGCAATTATCACAATTTTATCTTATGATTTGAAGAATAGTATTTACCAAACACTTCGTATAAAACACACACACACACACACACCGGTACTTGTTGTTGGAGGTAGCGACAGCCAGGTGACGTGGTTGGGCTGAACAGTGATAGAGATGATAGTCATTCTCAGGCAACATGTCGACGTCGTGGAAAGCATAGCAGTCCCAGGGCCCCTCCTTATGGGACTCCAAGAATCCCACATTGAGCAGGCGGGCCCGGTTGAAGAGTTCCGTGCCTGGATGAGTGCGAGATGTGAAACAGGCGGGGAAAAGAACAATAATGGGACTGATAATGAGTAAAAAAGATAATATATAAAGCAGTGCAATAAGAGTAAAAGAGCAGATATGCTACACTGATGGAAAAGAAAAATTGATCCCAAAAAATGCAATGTTTGGTAGGTTAGTTTTGGTTCATTTTACTAACGACAAAATATATAATGTAACAAACCAGTACTTCAGGAAGTTTCCAGACTCGCCAAATGTAAAGAACAGCGTTTCATTTTTATTTTATTTTTTTATTATTATGATTTTTTTTTACTGGGAATTGCCCATCCGGGCACAGGTCACTGACCCATTTCATGGCCGGGGGAATATAATAATAATAATAATAATAATAATAATAATAATAATAATAATAATAATAATAATAATAATAATAATAATAATAATAATAATAATAATAGCCATAAATGCAAAAATTAAAAAAATAGTCAATAGTGAGAAACGATGTACAGTGTGTACGTTGTGTTGTCAATAGTAAGAGAAACAATTGAGACCCTGCAATTGTGTGTAAATGAGACAGAAAGTCAGATCAGCAACCTGGGACTTGGTCACAATTTTCGTGATGCCTTATGGCAGCAGGGTCTACCATTAGACACCACATTATGCTTCCATTATCTTTCCACGCGGTAGTACCTCCCTGTTTGATAGCTGCCCGTTAAATACAAGAGTAGTCTATTTTATCCTATAAATTTAATTTTGTGTCTTCGTAAGTACTGGAAGGTGATGCGAGAAATTTTGAATCAGGAATTCTAACTTAATGGGAGTTTTTTATTTTATTAGTGTTTCCCCTAACTAAATAAGAGAGAATTAATGTTTAAGCCGGTGATAGAAAACGAATCGAGTATATACACAACTATAATAAGTTCCTTATGTCTCTGTAGACAGGCATATACAGATAAATATTGATTCAATAAAATGCTTCAATCAAACCTCTCACTCAGCTTAGATCCGGGCAAAGCGAAGGTTTATTTCATTTACCTTTTTTTATTTATGGGCTCTTGAGTGCTTGAAGTGCCGGTGCCATGCAAAATATCTAGATAAGAATTAGAAGATGTAACTGTGCCAGTTGTGGTGTTTTTCCTCAAGAGGACGAGACTAGATGTAGCTTATCCCAGTATTGCCATTTTGTATGCACGTAACTCTCACCAATATGTCAAGGGTTCTAGCTTCGACTCGGACACACGTGAGAAGGGTGTTATCCAGTGTGACTCTGCCAAATACCACAGGTTTCCCGGTCCTCGGTTTCTTCCTGTATTAACACTGGATAAACTGTCCAAACGGCTAGTAAACTGATAAGTGGTGAATATGATAAAAAACAAAAATTGCTCTCTGAGCCTGAGGTAAACCTGGGTGAAGATCGTGCATCTCTGATCTTATCCTGGTCAGTATTGAGAGAGATCTCGCGGAAACCCTTAATTTCTACAAAGTTATCACAAGTTTTATTAGTACAGAAAAGGTGCTTTCACCATAAATTATAGTTTGTAAGCCTTTTGTGTGTGTGCTGAACATATTATTGCAATGAATTATTCATATACGGCAGTGGATATTTTGCCGTGACCGGCTAAGTTTCTACTCATGCTATTTTACTGTGAGTGCACTCTGGTTGGCTAATAGTCCATTACCGGCGAACAAAGCGAGAACTATATCTGACCGTGTCTCTGGCGGCATTTGGCATTTATTTTTTTTACGGGGAATAGCCCTCCCAGGCACAGGTCATCGACCCACAACGGGGTCTGGGGTGCGAAAGAATAAGAGTAAAAGGAAATTAAAAGTAAAAGAGAAAGAGACTATATACATACTTAACTACAAGGAGTTGTTCGATTTTGTTCATTTTTCCACAGATGTTCTTATTATTATAAAAGAGGCGATAATTACTTGAACCTAATAGAACCTGACCTCACCAATCAAAGAAACCTACATAACTTTACCTAACTTCCTAGAAAGCACATAGACAACCAGAGCGCACTCTCGGTAAAATAGCGTTAGTAGGAACTTAGCCGGTCACGGCAAAATATCCACTACGTATCATTTAAAAATAAGAAAATACACATTAAAATATTACTGAAATAACTATTATGACAATATTTATATGATATAAATGAAATATTGATCTGGAGCGTAAAATTGTATCTACACTGAATTACATTATTTTATGAAGTCTATATTTAAAAAGCGAGTAATTTTAACATATTTGTTTTGCAATTGTTTTTCAGTCAGTCCTGCCCCATCCTCCCCTGGTAGAGCTTTGTGCCTGGGTGCTCCTTCACTCACCTATTCAATCTGTAAAATTTTTAAGACTCACCCCCCCCCTAAAAAAAACTCTAGAATCACCACTGCATGAAGTAACATAAAAGTCATAAGCCAGTCTGTAATATCCAGAATGACTGACAACAAAAGGTCCCAAGAGTTTGAGAAATAAAGAGATAAATAAACAGAAATTTACCGTCCTGTTCGACGAAGTAGATGGAGTAGTTGAGTTGTTGTCGTTGGAGGAATGGGTGCATGTGGTTCAAGAAGGCACCAACCTGCGAAGTATACAACGCTTTAGTGCTCTCTCTCTCTCTCTCTCTCTCTCTCTCTCTTTCAACAACTGACCTGATGCTCTCTGTCTCTATATGGGACGATGATAGCCACACTCCAGCGGGCCTCACAGTGTTCAGGCCAGGAGAAGCCTCCATACTTTACACTGGCGCCGTGACGAGCCTCAGCTTCCTTCACCGTCACGCTCTCCTCCACCTTCACCTCCCCGACTGTAGTCCAAGAAAGTGTTTGTGAGAGCGAGATTAACACTTACAAATAAACAGAGACAAAAACAGGTTGCATTACGTGAAGGTATTAAATTAAACAGAGGAGGTTTTAATAAATACGAATTAACATTTGTGGCGTCGGATTTCATAAAATAGTTTGTGATAATTATATATTGTTTAGTTTGTATTTGTAGGTTGCTGCTACGCCTTTTTAATGCATTGTACACTAGCTTCCTCCTGCTAATATAACACTATTAGTTCCAAAACGTGAGTGTTATCCCGGTATATAAAACAAGTGCTGGCGACACTTCTCGTCGACGCCATGTCTCACTCCAATAAGAACTGACTTTCATATACCTCCATACACACTACACATCAAAACTATGTACAAGGTTTCTATCGTTTGTGTACAACGTATTCTCTAGTCATTGTGCAATATGTCAACAATAGCAAAACAAAATAAGTAAATGATACTCACCCAAGTGTGGTGGGGTAGAAGGACATCCAGGCAGCACCTTGACACTAGACTTTCCTGAGTCTCCACTTACACCAACGCTTGCCTCCAATGCCTCTTTGAAGGCATAAACGTTGGCCTGGACAGGGATGCTTGCGTCTGCCTCCTGCAGGGTGATTCTGTTTTTCAGTAGTAGACTCACCAGCAGCATCAGCAAGGTTATCGTTAGTATCAAGCACACACGCACCACCCACACCACCATCAACCCCACCCCAAGCCCACCACCCATACATCTCCACCACCTTCGACCCTCACCCCACATGTCTCTTAATGTAGAGAGAGAGATGGTGATGGGCTGTGAGGGACTATTACACTGAAGAGTTTCTGACCATTATAAGGGCACTGTCCTGAAGGCGGTGGTGTTCAAGTACTGTCCTGATGGCCGATGTGTTCTAGTACTGTCCTGATGGCCGAGGTGTTCTAGTACTGTCCTGATGGCCGAGGTGTTCTAGTACTGTCCTGACGGCCCAGGTATTGCCAGTACTGGCCTGAAAGCGGTGGTGTTTCTGTAATGTCCTGACGGAGATTAATTTTCAATTTGTCTGATGGGTGTACTCGCTGTTTTGACTGAAAAAAGAAGCAAATATCAGGAAAGCCTTTCTCTTTAATCTTACACAGGTGGGTCGTGGGGCGAATCTATATATCTCTCTCTCTCTGCGTAATCTTAATATTTAAAAGTATTTTAAGAACACTCATGCAATGCTTTCAGGTTTCATCATCTTATAATTTCTCGGTACACACGAATTTGTAATCGCATGGTTTCCTTTATTTTCTTCTACAATAACAATATTTTTAAAGTGAAAATACAATCATGATATTTTTCTCAAAGTAGTCAGTTATCCTCATTCAGTTTTGTGGAAAATCATATGTAATTTGGTGTTAACAAACAGGAAAGCCGCCAGTTTACCTCTTGGTACAACAGAGAACAGTTATTCTTAAGACTGCGTAACCTTCAGGTATTACAAAACAATCAGGATTATAATGTTTTTTATAAGAAAATGTGTTTAGGTGACTACTAAGACCTAAGTTACGGAAGAGAGTGAAAAATAAGACTCGTCTATAAACAACATGTACATTACATTTCATCAACAAAAGTTCATTGCTCATAAGAACAGTTAACTCGACTTAAATTTAATGTATGTGTGTGATGACGTACAAGTAACGCACTAGCTGGGTCCTGTTATCACATGGACAAACGGGTTCACCAAAAGCCTGTGGAGCAGTAGGTAATTTATTCTCGAGTCTAGTACCTCTTCTCTTCGTAAGTGTGTCTGCTGGGGTCGTTACAGAAGGTCACCGAATGGCTTCTTAATTCCTAAAAATAACCTCCTGGAGCGGTATTGGTGCACAGAGGTTACGCGCATATCTAAAAAGAGGTTTAGATCCAGTAACTAGGTTCTATTATATGATTAAAATGTTCATATAATTCAACAAATAAAAAGGGCTAATAATTCATCCAGGAGATTATGGGTCGCCATTACTATAAAAGTGTTCGAAATTCTACTGAGGTACATAAATCCCCCCCCCCCCCCACACACACACCTGCTGCGAACGGCGGGAACAGTAACAACAAAAAAGGTGAGGATGAGAAGTGGGACTGAGTAAAGGTGTTATTTTATCTATAACTTCAATTCTGACACGTAAGCTTCGTGGCTCCAAGGTTATCGCATCCATTATTAACTTTGGACTTCCTGTGATTAATGCAGTGTGTGTGTGTGTGTGTGTCTGTGTTGTTATTGTTGTTGTTTATCGTAATAATAATAATAATAATAATAATTAACGGTTTATTGAAAAAATTCTGCAGCCCGAAGGCTGAAAATATACATTGGACATAAATGACTTATTACATACATTGGTGGTTTAACAAAAGCCTTCATTAGAGAAAGGTAAAGGAACATACAGTGAACATACAGATTAATGTAGGTGTTGAACAGCAAACTCGTAGTGTAGTAACTCCCTCCCAGATGGTGTTAGGAGGAACTCACGTGGTGTAGTAGTTCCCTCAGATGGTGTTATGAGGGACCTGGCGTGGTGTAGTAATTCCCTCGCAGATGGTGTTATGAGGGGCCTCACGTGGTGTAGTAATTCCCTCACAGATGGTGTTATGAGGGACCTCACGTGGTGTAGTAATTCCCTCGCAGATGGTGTTATGAGGGACCTCACGTGGTGTAGTAATTCCCTCACAGATGGTGTTATGAGGGACCTGACGTGGTGTAGTAATTCCCTCACAGATGGTGTTATGAGGGTGCCTCACAGATGGTGTTGAGGGACCTCTGGTGTAGTAATTACCTCACAGATGGTGTTATGAGGGCCTCACGTGGTGTAGTCCCTCACAGATGGTGTTATGAGGGGCCTCACAGATGGTGTAGTAATTCCCTCTGAATGGTGTGAGGGGCCCGTGGTGTAATATTCCCTCAGATGGTGTATGAGGGGCCTCACGTGGTGTAATTCCTCACAGATGGTGTTGGGACAGATGGTAAGAGGACCTCACGTGGTGTAGTAGTTCCCTCACAGATGGTGTTATGAGGGGCCTCACGTGGTGTAGTAATTCCCTCACAGGTGGTGTTATGAGGGGCCTCACGTGGTGTAGTAACTCCCTCACAGATGGTGTTATGAGGGACCTGACGTGGTGTAGTAATTCCCTCACAGATGGTGTTATATGAGTGAGGTGTGGTCCCAGGCCTTCCTATCGTAGACGGATTACACATCACTGGTTTTTGTTGGGTCTCACGGGCCGTTATCACTGGGTATCTGGGACCTCACTGTGTGAAGGTTAACTTGGGTACGACTGTTACTGTTTAGTTGTTCTCACTGACTTAAGCACTGTTCACCACTGTTCACCTCTGTTTAACACTGGTTCCATTCCTTTCCTAAATGAAATAGTAACTTCTGGAGAGAAGTTGTTGATATTCCGGTGGGGAGGAGGGTTCAGGGGAGGGGGTTGGTATGGGCCAACTTAACAGTTGACCTGGCTGCTCCGAGAGGAGCGCCAGGTACGTCTTGACCCTTCGGTGGTCAAGGATGTAGTGTGTATGTATGTGTGTGTGTGTGTGTGTCTGTGTTGGTATTGTTGTTGTTTATCATGTGTATGTATGTGTGTGTGTGTGTGTGTGTATGAGCAAAGTATATACCGTTTCCAGCTAACAACTCCACGCTCCTGAGCCATCGTGTTGAACCGCGCACCCTGTTGGAGTAGAGACGGCGGGATGGGTGGGCGGGTGAAGCAGAAACCATACTCTCCGTTACAGTGTGTGGGAGCGGTGAATAGCGGTTAAGATACTTTTGTAGACACGGTCACTGGCGTCGAGCACTGTGATGCGTTCTGTCTCCCAGTGGTGGAGTTGAGGAGGGTAGATGACATGTTATGGAGGGTAGATGACATGTTAAGGAGGGTAGATGGCATGTTAAGGAGGGTAGATGACATGTTAAGGAGGGTAGATGACATGTTAAGGAGGGTAGATGACATGTTAAGGAGGGTAGATGGCATGTTAAGGAGGGTAGATGACATGTTAAGGAGGGTAGATGACATGTTAAGGAGGGTAGATGAGGGCGATCTAGGGTGGACGATTCATGTGCATTCTGGAGGAAATGACTCATGTTAAAATTATAACTGTACTTTTACCACCAACCCACTTTCCTCTGTTATCGGGTCTCCGCTCCCTCACTCCCTCTACCTCCTCACTCCCTGCAAGTAGTTACTTTTTTTCATAATTTTTCACAAATTATGTTCAGTACATCGTCCCTCCCCCTCCCCAAATCCGTCTTCCGATGTCGCGGTGAGCGCAAGATGATGTACACATTGATCGTACTATTTATTGTTTTTTATTATTATTATTGCTATTTTTATTATTATTATTATTATCATTATTATTATTATTATTATTATTATTATTATTATTAGTAGTAGTAGTAGTAGTAGTAGTAGGACGGCCAAAGACATCTAGGCGCAGTAATTGGCACTATGGACTTCAAGACCCAGTACGTAGGGGGAAAGGTGAATGAGTGGGTGAGCGAAATCCATGCTCTATCGGAGATTGCTAACACAGAGCCACATGCGGCCTTTGCAGCATTCACACATGGAGTCAAGCATCGTTGGAACTACCTGATGCGTACCATCCCTGAGATCCGACCCCTCCTCCACCCTTTGGAAGAAGCAATCAGTGTCAAGTTCATTCCCAAACTAGCGAAACACCACGACTTAACCCTAGTAGAAAGAACACTTCTTGCACTTCCACCAAGACTGGGAGGGATGGGACTAACTAATCCAGAGGAGATTGCTGACTCTGAACATCAAAATTCACTTAAGCTCACGGCAGCCCTCACTGACCACATAATAGCCCAGAATGCAACAGGGGAAGTGGACACCAGCGAAGTTAATAAGATCCGTAGATCCATTACAACAGATCGGCAGCACTGCCAAAATGACATGTTGCAGCAACTATTGCTGCAGGTTCCAGAAAATTTGACAAAAAAAGTAGCTATAGCGCAGGAGGTGGGCGCCTCGAACTGGTTAACTACGTTACCGATAAGGGCAAATGGTTTCAGCCTTAACAAACAAGAATTTACAGATGCCATTGCTCTAAGGTACGGTTGGCCAGTAGATGGTTTGCCCTCCCAATGCGTGTGTGGCTATTCCTATGATGGCGATCACGCCATGGTTTGCAAGAAGGGGGGCTTCATATGCATGAGGCATGACGAGGTAAGGGATCTCACAGCAAATATGTTGAAGGAAATCTGCCGGGACGTCATGGTAGAACCGAACCTCCTTCCACTGGATGGCGAGATCCTCCAACACAGGACCTCAAACACATCTAACGAAGCCCGTGTGGACGTCAGTGCTCGAGGATTCTGGACGCGGGGACAGCGAGCTTTCTTCGACATCAGGATTTTTGATCCCATGGCCGTTTGTCACCGTAACCTAGCTCTCGATGCTGCGCATAGGAGGAACGAGAACGACAAGAGAAGGGCATATGGGGAGAGAATTCAAAATGTTGATCAAGGCAGCTTCACTCCTCTAGTGTTCACAACCTCTGGTGGGATGGGCCCAAGTGCAAGAGGTTTCTATGCCAGACTCGCGGAGCTGATCTCCGAACAGAAGCAGCAGCCCAGAAGTTGTGTCACAGCCTGGATGAGATGTCGACTGTCCTTCTCTCTCCTTCGGTCGGCTTTGCTCTGCCTCAGGGGAACGAGAGCTTCTGCCCCTACTCCGTCAACTGCTGCAGATATCGACTATGAGGCTACAGTCACCGAATGCCGCATGGATCTGCGGCTCAACTAATTCAACACAGATAGGATAGTTGCTTATGTATTAGGATATTTAATATTAAGGTAAATAAATGGTGGCGAAGGTGTGGCTATTGGGGGAGGCTGGAGGCCACGTTTAAAAAAAAAAGTAGTAGTAGTAGTAGTAGTAGTAGTAGTAGTAGTATTAGAAGTAGTATTAGTAGTTGTAGTAGTTGTAGTAGTAGCTCAACTAACTCAACACAGCTAGGATAACTACTTATGTATTAGGATATTTAATTTTAAGGTAATAAAATGGCGGTGAAGGTGTGGCTATAGGGGGAGGA